GCGTTCTACATGGTCTCCCTGAAAACAAGACCAAGTTGCGACAACGAGGTCAACCCACTTCTATCAAAAGCAACTTTGTTCGACAATCCAACCATTCGTGAAGCTGCAATAAACTGATGAATAGAATGCACTAGTACTAAAGAGTAGAACTTAATTTTATGATTCGGTATATGCATGAGAGAATGAGTGTGCTAACTTAATAACTCGTGATTAAGATGAAGTCTGTCTGACACAATACAAAGAGTCCTCCATTCCACTTTCCTTTGCGTCGTTAGGTGTGAAAAGCCTCGGCGACATGACTGTGCAGGTTGGGAGTTGAAGCACCATCATCAACCATCAATACACTCCACCTATACCCCCTCCTATCCAACTCTCCACACGTGTTAATATAAGATGCAAATATGCTGTTAACCCCTTAAGGCCAGTATGAGTATGTGTGTGGTTATGTGAAATGACCATCTCCACAACATTCAGGCACACATTCCGGACAAATAGAAGCAGGAAGACCTTTTGTCTCAGTTGCAGGACTAAGAGGTGTTAATTGAGGATAATTTCAAGTGTCAGCGCAAATCATCTCAACCGCTCGTAATAAAGCTTTCGAGAATGTCCGCTTGCTTCTGCCACTGTGTATGTAAACTCTTGTGTGTGAATTTACCTCGAATATGCACATGTGAGCATGTGCATGTCAATTTACTCACTGGCATGTCCATAGGAATGGGCATAAGATAGAAAATATTATGTGGATTAGTCTATAGCTGAGCAGAGACGTGGATTCACGCTCGCTACTAACATGGTTTGCTGTGATATTGATAGGCACAGGTTAGACTGTGTCGAAGCGGCTTGTTTGGTTGAGTCCGCTCGATCAGGGGTGTATTATATCAAGCGAAGTCGAGTCCTTGATATCTTTATTTTCACAGTATTATTCCGATAAATAGCCATCACTCCGTAAGCCATAGCTTGAATTTAGCGCGATCCGTTTTAATTAAACTAGCTACAGCCAGTATCCCCTGGAAGGCCTAAATAAGATCGCCAATCCGATCGCATTGTTGTGCTTTCTAGTGCGACGTTTATGCTCCAGGGGCACTTCGAGGGGCTTATCAGATGTACAGCATTTGTCGGTAATAGCCACTTTGTATAAGTGGCCCACACCGTTCCTCCTTCATCCTCAATATTCTGTCGTGCTCAACCTAAATTCTCACCCGGCTCATCTTCTGGCCACGCCTCCAGCAAAACTCACTGCCACACACTGCCCTAATTACACCTTCGTCCAATGATCTGGTGGGAAGGATTTTCACGCTACCTCCTTCCGCCGAGTCAACGGCGTTTGAGAGAAAAATTCAACATGTATGCAGCTTGTAAACAAGCTAGGGAGCAGGATGACCGTAGATGTAGCACTGTCTTACCGAAGAGGTTTGTGTCTAATGAAAACTGGCAAAAGTAGGATATACGAATGAAAGAAATATTTGGATTTAGAATTGTAAACTAAATTTTGTGATGAAAGGTATCGAATATCATTCACACCAGCTAACTTTGGGCTTAAATGGAACGTTCTAGTTGGTAATATTCTCGAAACAATTTCCTTTCTTATATGAGGATTATTCAACCTATTTCGTTTAAGGTGATGAAGGACTGTTTATTGAATTTTCCTACAATGATATGAGTAGAACGGACGTTCCATTTCTCAAAAGGTATTTCCATCCAGATTGGAGTGGACCGCAGTTTCGACCTCGCCTAGGTCTTATCAACAACCCTACCAAGAGTGGAACCATGACAGTGCATAGTGTAATCTCATCACGTTAACCATTATGCCACATTGTCACGAGTGCCCTTGGGTCACAGGGCAGATGTCAATTTTAATGAAAGCCAGGCAGTTTCCCATATCACATTCTTTTTTATGATTGTCGATGAAGCAAAGTTATATTTGTTGGGATTACTTCCATTTCGAGT